GAAACTTGAAGGTAAGGTATTTAAATATAAAATTAAAATAAATAACTTCAGTAATTTATTAATTCAACAACAAAAATTTTACTTAAGCTTAAAATTGTTAGTTCAAACAAACTTCTTAATTCTATGACAAATGTCTTAGTTAGGTTACAAATTATTTAAAATTTAAATGTGGCTTTAGCAACATTTTAGATTCATGTTATTGTGGTGTGGCTCTGTATTGATTTTCCCCAACAACATTTTAAAAGATCAAGCATGAAATCAATGATGAACATTGTTCTTATAAATAGGCCTCTGCAAAACATTGAGATGTTTTGAAGAAAGTTTCATATGAAGATGATTCTCTTTATAAAGCCTGCAGAGATGAAAAAAAATTGCATACCTAGGATTGGGGCAATTGAGAAGCCTCATGAAGTTGTAAAAAAAAAAAAAAAAAAGCTAAAGGATTCTAATGTTCTTTGTTTATAAAAACAAAATACCATTCGACTTGTCTAAAGCTGTTTGTGATGTGCTCTCATTTCTAGTTTCTGCAGCAACTAATTAACTATGCATTAATGACAACAGCAGCAAAGTTCGACTTTATTAAGATTTACTACTTGAGTTTGGAAAATGAATAAAGGGTTTGTTTGTTTTTACATGCAATTGGATCATAGTCTAATAAGTGACATATACTGAAAATAGTGAAAAATAGAAAATGTGTAACCCCAATGGTTAGAACTCTGAATCTTCATTTTGTGTTTTCAATTTATTGATCACACTCTTCCTGCTATTTAAAATAAACAGGTTACTGTTAGTTAAAATAAATAGGTTACATTTAAAAATCAAGAGGGTCCTGAACTTATTTTTTAAGTTGTAAACTAATGAAAAAATGAAAAGAAAATTTAGAAAAATTAGTCTCAATAAAATGCATCATTTGTCTGTTCCTTAATCTTAACTTGATGAGCAATGCAAAATCAAAAAAAAAATTTTCTAAAATAAAAAGGTATGATGGAAAATACTTGTGTTGCTATTGTGATGGGCCAATGGGTAAAGAGGAGATTAAATGACTTTTGGATCGTTAGCAGTTTAATTTAAAGACTTGATTATAAACCTCCTATACAAATTCAATATTATTGAAATTTTACTAATCAAATGTAATAATCAAAAAGAGAATTCACAATTAGAAAAAGCAGTGCTAAGAATTTGATGATTACCTTACCAGTAAGGTTCTATTGCCTTCTCAGTATACTGAGAAGGCAATAGAATGACCTGTTGTTTTATTATCTGCTGGACATAGTTAATGATTTAGTTAAAATGGTTTAATACACCTCCTTTCAAAACAAATTTGATTATTTATTTCTTCTCCCGAAACTACTGGCGTAACTCAGTTGGTTGACCAGGTTAATAAAAATCTTTATCGTGAGTACAAAATAGTTAAGATTTATCTTTTCACCCAATGCAATCAATTAACAGAGAGGGATATATGACTATCTAGGCAATGTATGGGAGATATGGACATTATAACCGGTTCTTGTTTCTAGTGCAAAAAGAGTTGGAATAACATCTTTTGAATTAAATGTTAACTTTATGTAACAAGACAAATTTGAGTGAGCTGCTGCATGCATTCATAAAGAAGAACCAGCCTCAACTTCTTTCAAAAAACCTTTTCGTAACCAGTTTCTAAAAGGAAAGGTTCAGCAAGTTACTGGAAAAATAAGTTTGACTGGTCTCAAATCTTGATTAGAGAAATAGCTTAAAAAAGCCTCTAATTAGAAAATATTTCTGATCTGCTATCTATTAAGTAAATCAAACCAAACCTTGAAAAATATCTACTTGTGTTACTCAGGTCTATGGTTCAATGCGTGCAAAAGATGTTGCAGCAAAAGCAAAAGATATAAAAAAAAGAGAAACAACGAAAGATAACAGCAAAGGAAGAAGCCAAAAAAAAGAAAGAAGAAGCTAAAGAAAAATTTATTAAATAAATTGTTGAATGTTTTTGCAAACAAAGGAAATGTCAAGCTTTTGGCCTAAAGCAATGTCCCAATTGTCTTGATGTTCTTCATTCAATTTGCAGTAAAGTGAGTTGCAGAGTTGATGGAGTTAAACCGGTTATGCTTTTATCAGCAAACCAGCACTTCTCCACATCTAAAAGACTGATTTAAGACCATTATAACGAATAAAACAACAATCAATAATTTTTTTTTGAATTAAAGTAATCAGTAAAAGTACTATTTAATTTATCTATGTTATTTTAACATTGTTGTAATAACCTATAATAATGTTTTTAAGTCTACAGCCATTTTAGATGTCTGTGTTATTACTGCAGTGTTCAAATATTGTTTTTAAAATAAATATATGTTATTTTCTTTTTAGAAAATCAAATATAATGGAAATTTATAGTTCTTATTTCAAAACATGCTCTATAAAGTGAGTTCTAAAAATGTACACCAAAAACAACAATAATACTTCCTTTCTTAATGAGGGTGTTATAAAGATATATAACTACTTGAGAAAAAAAACTTTTTTCAGTTTCTAGTTATAATCCATAGATAATAGAAAAACTATATTTTGCTAATTTGTTCTCTGTTATGGCTTTAAGGCTCCTACAAAACAAAAAAAAACTACGCATTTTTATAATTGAAACTTTAATTCTAGTGAAAATATCAAAGTATTTAACAAATAAAAAAACCAAATAAAACTGATTTAATTTGGCTGACATATTAGCTATCATAATATATCAAGTTTTTTGAATCCTTAATCTTTTTCTATATGCTAGGTCACTTAAGCCAACATTGTTGTTTTTGCGGTACATATACCTGTATGGCACTCAAAAAGCAATGCCACATAAAGTTTAGGATCCCAACATTTAGCGTAAGTTTTCAATTTTTAGAAAAAAAGGTAAAAAAATAAAAAAGGATACAGTTTTTTAATTTGTTTTCTATGGTTTCTATTTCATGTTAACCTGCTGAATAAAAAGTGATAAAAAAAATCTAAAACTACTTTAATTATGAAACTCTAAATTCCATTTGACATAAGGTAGCTCCTAGATGGTGATCAGTTCAAGCAGACAATAAATGACCTTACATTCACAGATTGGAAAGCCTTCCAAAATAAATGCAGAAACTACTGAAATGAAAATTATACGTAATTGTCAGAAACGGTAAACATCAATTAGAAAAAAACAAAAATATAACAAACTTTAAAACTTTAAACTACAGGCGATGATAAAGATAGCAAGAATGCATCCCTGACAAGCAATGCTAGCCATGTTCATCAGGCTCTCTGAAACATCATTGGTAAATATATTGTGGCCCTGAGGATGGTGTTTTACCTAAATTAGTCCACTACTTTATGATTTAATTTGTAAACAAAGATTAACAAAAATACTTGCCTTTTCAATGTAGTTAATAATAATCATTAAAGTTAATAAAACTAATTATGTAACAAATATATAAGAGGTTTCTGATTACCAAACACAAACAACACATACAAAGTAACTCCTGGATGAACAAACACTGCGCCTAAGGTTACGACAGAACACAAATATATATAGCAAATTGTTAGATATAAAGTAAAATTTCTAGATATTGGTTTACTAACTCTAATTATTTTCACTTCAGTTGTCATTCTTAAAAACTTGTTATACTTTTTTTTGCTTCAAATTTTTCTGTTTCAAATTTCAATTAAAATTAAAAAGCCCACCCACTTAATATCATCAGCGATATTGTGAAGCAGTGTCGCTTCTTCGTCATATAGTATTTTTAACCTTTTTTGTTGATTTTCATCTAGGTAATTTAATTTTTTTACTAATTCAATGATTTAATTATTTTATTTGTTCATCTTACTACAAAGAATTGCTTCAATTATATTAAACTTTTCAAACTACGGGAAACATAAAATAGGTAATAAAAAAATAACTTTTTTATTTATACAATAATTTAGCTTAAATAAAACTAAAACTTTCAAACTTTGTTAAATAATGAACATTTGTTTCCTTTTTAAACAATTGTAAGATGTTACTTTATATAAAAAAGGTTGCTTAATTTTATAAAAGAAATTATGAAAGAGCAATGTTTGTAAAATATTTGTTTTAAACGTAATTTATTTTTCTTTAAGTTTTTTTTCGCGTTTAAAAAAGTTTTGATGTAATTAATTTCACTTTTTTAGAATATTTTTTATTTAGCGCATTTCTAAAATGTTTTTTGAATTAGCTGCGGTCAAACCGCCATAGCAAAATGTAAGTTGCCTGGTCATATAAAGACATGAAATCGCACATCTTCCTGTGAAAGCCTGTATATGTATTAATATAATATATATATATATATATATTATATATATATATATATATATATATATATATATATATATATATATATATATATGTTATTTTATTGATCAATTATCTGGTTTTAATAATTATTGCAAATATAAAATATTTCATATCTAATTAAAAATGTTAAACAATTAAAAAACTAACTAATAACTGATAAGAATATGTTTCATTGTGGTTGGCTATTGAACTAAAAAGTTATTTGTGGTTAGCCACTTGTGCAAAGTTGTGATTTTGCTTCATCTATAAATTATAACCAACTTGGTAAATTCACTTAACTTAGATAAACATAACAACGATAAAACAAGCTATCATATAAAAATGCAACTAAATGAAGTTAAACAAGTATTTAATGGTAAGCAGTAACATAAAAATAGATACTTATTGAAAAATTACTTAATTTTAAATTTTATAGTAGTTACAAAGAAGAAAAATTTATTATTTTATTTAGAAATAATATAAAAAACAGTTAGCTGTATATTATTCGAACAACGCTTAAAAAAATACATAAAATAAATTTTCCAAAATTAATCTTTTAATAAGATTTTTATACTAATAAGATACTTTTAAGAAAATAAATTTAATGAATAATTATAATAAATATAATTGAAAAAATATAATAAAAAAAAAATAATAAAAAAATAGAATATAGTAAATGATCAGTAAATTTAGATAAACCAAATATTAAAGTTACCTTTATTGGCAGCAAATCCTGAAGATATTTTAGGTGAATTTCCAGTGTCTAAATAATATAAAAAGTTCTCTTTACAAACAAAAAAACTCTCAAATTAAGTTTAGATGTGGAGCTAATCCAAATAAGTCTTTAATTTATGTAAACTTTTTTTTCTCTTTTTCATGTAACAAATCATTTCTTTATAACTTTTTCAGCTTTTAATTGTTTTACCATTACTATAATTTTAAACCACATAAAAGTGATGTCTAAAATAATGCTTTGCTGTCAAATTAATTTCCTTATTATATTTTACATATATAAATATATTATATATATATATAAAACTCTAAACTACAACTTTGGTAGTACTGGACTAGTGATTTGTTTTGCCAAGTAACAGTCTTCTTTGTCAAGTTTGGTATTTTGAAGGTAGGGTTGAAAGAGGGTTGTAACCGCAATGACACAAAAAGTCATTGTTTGCCAATCTTTAACTTGTTAAAATTATGTGCAATAATTATGAGGGTGAAATTACTGACAAAAAACGAATTGGGTGACACCTTTTCAAAAAAAATAACAATCAATTTTGTAAAATATTGTCTAATTGGCTTCTAGTTAGATATATAAAGTGTGATATTTTCATGCACAACAGGGCAACTTGGCAACAGGCAAACAGGTCAGACATAGGCCAAAGAAAATGCACCTAATGCACTTGCCTAACGGTCATGGAATTTGTCCAATAGAAATCCCATCAATAATTTGCTTAGTAAAACAATAAACAGAGGTTTCTAAACAAAAACCAACATTGCTAGCAGAACTGAGAAAAGCCATAATAAAAGAGAATGTACAACTTTTTTTTAAACAGTAATTTTATTATTTTATCTTCAGGTACATTATTTTTAAATTAATTTGTTTTATAGTACTAAATACATTCAGATATAACATATATTTTGACAAACAAGGCCACTGTGTTGAAAATTAAGTAAAGCAAGGTGGTACTAGGGACAAAAAGTTATGAAGAAAAATGATTTATAAAGAGTTTTTTTTACATGAAAATAAGAACATTAGTTATTATATACTCTGCATCACTCCAAAACTCTAATTGATAACATATTTTCTAATGCAACTCCTACAAATATTTTTGCCCGTACTCTAATTTAGTTTAAGTTGAAAAAATTAAAACATTTTTTTCACTTTTTCTGACCTATTATACTATTATGAAAATTTAGTGAAAATTTAATTTATGAAGCTTTAAAGTTAGTATACTACTATGAAAATTTTATTTTAAAATATTGACAGTAATGTTGATTTAAGCTAAATTTGTTTATTTGGATAAGGATCGAAAATATCATGCAATAATTTATAGCATTGATGGCCGAAAAAACTGATTACACATGATCAAGTTCATTCAAGTAGAAACCTTGATAACTGAAACAGCATCCAAAAAAACAGACTGTTTAGTTTTATGTAATTCATCAAACACAAATAACTTTATTAAAGGAAAAAAAAAACTTACTAAACAATATTTATACATATCAGTTATGTAAATGTGTAAATCGAATCTAATGTCCACATCAGTTAAAAGAAAATATGAATATCCAATAATAATTCAGCAAAGTTTTTAGTTGAATCATATTTGTGTGGCCTGAATTTGAAAGCAAACAAGTAATTATTTAACAACTATCTGTCAGACATCTTTTAAGTAACATTTCCTCATGACCCTATGTTTCATAATTAAACAGTTTAATGAGTGCAGGAGCAATCAATATAAAAAAAGAGTATATTCTTGACTATTGACACCCATCAGCCTTGGCAAAAAATAAACAGAAAAATATGCACATGTAAAAGTGCTAGCTAATTATGTTATTAGTTTGGCAGTGATTATATTTTTACTAAAATATAGAACCATTGTCCGTAAAAGATTCTTTTATTTTAGGTTTGTGTAGTTTTACTCAAAAAACTTGACAAAACATGAAATTTTTTGACTTGGTGTCTGATGAAAACAAATTTAACCAAATCAAAGTCCAAGTGTAAGAAAATTTCTTAAACTTCTATACCTAATCAGCTACATAGATCAGCTTTAGTAAATTAGGACACATTTTTTTTTTTTATAATCATTTGGCTTTTAATTAATTTAAACTAATTAAAGTTTTTTATATTTCTTTACTGATATTTTAAATCATTTGGAAAAAAAAAAAAAAATACAAACTAAATTTAATTTTATTTTTATGTTTTGTTAAAGATGCTACTTATATAAAGAAAAAGAAATACATAAACGAAACAATTAAAATTAGAAAAAAATGTTATTCAATATATTAAATATAAATAAATAATAATTACTTGTTAATTCATCTACCGTTCTTACTAGATCCATTCTTTTCATTTCTTTTAAAGCAGTTTTTAACTCATCAAGTGTTGGATTGCTATTCATTTGTAACCATTTAGTTAACATTGAATATGCTTTCTCATCACTTTTACTATTATCTTTATCAATCATGTCTAAATAGTTTTCTTCAATATTTAACAGGGTTGGAAAAAACCCAGGGTTTTTTAAAAAAACCCAACCCAAATGAGTTTTTTTGGGTTTTATTGGGTTTTTTTGGGTTTTATGGGTTTTTTGAGTTTTTTTAAAAATCGATCAAAATACCAAATTTTTATAATTGTATGAGTACAATAATTTTTTTTTTAATTTCATAAATTCACCTCCCTATTGCTCCAATGACCATTTCAGTCAAGGGAGCAACTCATTTTTTAAAAATATTTTGTCTCAATCCTTAACATTACCACTTTTACTAACAAACAACATTAACAAATAAAATTTTTAAACAAAGGCGCTGTGCGGAGAAATAGATTGAGACAGTAATTTCAGCAGAGGTAATTTGAAGTTGTATGCACTTTAGGACAAATCTAGTAAACTGTAGCATTTTTTTTTTAATTATCTTCGCTTCCAACAAGGTTGCAAGCAACCACTAATTAGTGTTGGAAGTTACTGGAAGAGAAAAGATGAAGATTGTAGAGCAAGATAACGATTGACAGACGACTTAAAATATTGCAAATTATATGAATCAGGAAAGCAAGATGAAGGAAGCGAATTCCAAAGAACTGATGTTCGAGGAAAAAAACTAGACGAATAAGAGTTTTTGGAGCACTTAGGAACAGTAACAGAAAAAAGATGAGACTTAATTGAATGACAAGTAACACAAGAATGAATTTTAGTAGATGGCACAAGAGACGCTAGCTCTTTAGAGCAGTGCCCATTATAGTATTTGTAGAAAAGAGAAAGAGAAGCAACATTACGACGATGTGACAGAGGTTGAAGGTTGGCTGCAAGAGCAGGTCCAACTATGTTTACAATGCGTTTTTGCACCTTGTCTAAAAGAGAAAGGGCATAATTAGAAGATCCGCCCCAGATATGGCAACAGTATTCCATACAAGGCCGGATTTGAGATTTATAGAGATAGAGAATAGAATCCAGAGTAAGAAAGTGACGAGCTCGATAAAGAGAAACAACTTTAGCAGATGCTAATTTTGCAACAGATTTGATATAAGGTTTCCAAGAAAGATCAGAAGTAAGAGTTAATTCTAGAAGATGAAGGGTAGGAGACTCATTGAGTACATTACCGTTCATAAATATAGGAAGGTCTAAATTATTGCGATAACGATTGGCCGAAAAAAAATTGAGTTTTATCTGAATTTAAGTTCACCAGCCACTGCAAGCCCCATGCTGTAGCAGAAGTAAGATCCTTTTGAGCTCAGATGCCCCCTGCAAGCAATCAGAGGGAGTTGGCTTCTTATCCTGGCAAGAATAAATGGTAGTATCATCAGCGAACAATACCACCTTAGATGTGAGAATATCTGGAAGATCGTTAATGTAAATTAAAAAGAGTATAGGGCCGAGGATTGAACCTTGGGGAACCCCTGAGGTTACAGAATAAGAAGAAGAGTGCTGTCCATCAAGGACAACTTTTATACTACGATTGAAAAGGAAGGATTCAATAATCTTAAAGATGTTTCCAGATACACCATAAGAAAAAAGCTTATGGAGGAGACCAGCATGCCAAACTTTATCAAGCGCTTTAGAAATGTCAAGAGCAATGGCCTTAACCTCTCCACCTTTATCTAATGCGCGATAAAACCTATCGGTTATTACTGATAGCAAATCAGCCGTAGAACGAGAAGATCGAAATCCATACTGATGATCAGAAAGTAGGTTATGAGATTCGAGATGAGAGATTATGTGTTTGTTAATTAAAGATTCAAAAACCTTGCTTATGATAGGAAGAAGACTAATGGGACGGTAGTTAGATGAGTCAGATCGCTCTCCAGAATTTTTAAAAGTAGGCATAACAGATGCTGCTTTCCAGCAGGCTGGAAAACAAGACTCTGATAAGCACTTGTTGAATGTTTTTGAAAAGATAGACGACAGCTCAGGAGAACACTTCTGCAAGACTATAACAGGTATGTTGTCCGGGCCGCAAGCTGTAGAAAAGTCTAAGCAAGAAATCACTTTAGATACAGAAGCTGGAGTGATACGAATGTCGAGCAATGGATCAACCTGTTTGACGGGTATATCAGGTAAAACGCAACTAGTGGCATCAAGAGATGATATTGATGAAAAGTTCTTGGCAAACAATTCAGCTTTGTCTTTAGGTGAGGTGACAAAGTCTGAACCGTACAAAAGAGGTGGAATTACAGACTTGCCCTTATTATTGATACTATTAAAGATTCTCCAGAAGTCATGAGAGCCTAATTTTTGTGATGAAATACGAGATTTCATGATCTGAGAATAGCGGGTTTTGGCGTTAGACAAAACCTTTTTACAATGGTTCCTAGCAGTAATAAAGAGGCGTCTGTTTTTTGGAGATTTTGTTTTGTTGATAGATATGGAAGTAATGGTTTCGATTGGCAATTGCAGCAGCACAATGTGAGGAAAACCATGGAGAAGAGTGAGGCTTGACCTGGAATTGTTGAGAGGGAATAAAGGATTCCATGCCAGCCTGAATTCACGAATGTTTTAAAAAAATAATAAATAACCAACTTGCTACAAAAACAGATTGATCGATTTTGGGTATATTCTAAAGACCATTATGTATATAAATACAGTGTTTACAAGAGTAATTACAGTATTAAGGTTGCACTTGCTGATAATAAAGCATTTATAAGTGTTAAAATCAGAGTTATCAGTTGTAAAATAGGTCATTTTTTTTTTTGGGTTTTATTGGGTTTTTTTAAGGTGGGTTTTTTTTTTTTTTTTTTGGGTTGGGTTTTTTTGCCAATCCTGGTTCTTGAGCACGCTTAGTTGAGTTTCGGTAACTTTTAACAAAAAAGCGATTGTTATTATTTAAGTAATTTTTTTCGAGTAACTTTTTACAAAAATTTTTAATATCTGTACTTTTTTATTGAATCAAGTAGAAAACGTTTTAATATTATCCTTTTATTTTTTTTTATTTGCGCTTACCAATTTTTAAAATGTTTTCTCTTAAATACTTTAAATACGTCTAACAGTTAATAAATATTTTTAAATCTATGGAATAATTTTAAAACCTAACAAACCCCCGTAAAATAATTATTTAAGTTAAAAATCTAAAACTAAAAAAAAGTATTTTTGTTCAATTTTATCGACAACTTTGCTATTGCTGAATTATTAAAATGTTAGCTTAAAAAGATTTAAACTTTTTTTTAAATCTGAATTTTTTCTACTTGTAAATAATGAGCATATTTAATTTTTTTGTAATTCAAACTTTTATATCAACTGATAATACTTTATTAAATGTTAAAATAATCGAAAGTTACTTCATTAAAATTCCGCTCAAAAATATATTTAAATATCCTCAAACAAAAAATATTTTGCTCGACGCAAATAGCCCTAGCTACTCGCAAAATCGCTCTTGGACAACGTAAAATTTACATCGCCTGACGCTTTATCGCAAGGCCTGCCATGACCCTATGTTTGATAATTAAACAGTTTAAAGAGTGCAGGAACAATCATCAAAAAAAAAAAAAAAGAGTACATTCTTGACTATTGACACCTATCAGCCTTGGGAAGAGAAATACAATATGGACATATAAAAGTGCTAGCTAATGATGTTATTAGTTTGGCAGTGATTATATTTTTAATAAAATATATAATCATTGTCCGTGAACAAAACATAAAATTTTTGACTTGGTGTCTGATGAAAACAAATTTAACCAATTTAAAATCTGTGTAAAAAAAATTTCTTAAACTTTTATACCTAATCAGCTACATAGATCAGCTTTAGTAATTAGGACACAGGTTTTTTTTTTCTATCATTTGACTGTTAATTAATATTAATTTAAACTAATTAAAGTTTTTGATATTTCCTAACTGATATTTTAAGTCATTCTGAAAAAAAAAATCTTTACAAACTAAAGTTAATTTTATTTTATGTTTTGTTAAAGATGCTATAGAGAAAAAGAAAGGATACATAAACAAAAAAAAAGTGTTATTAGAAAAAAATTTGTTATTTGTTATATTAAATATAACTAAATAATAATTACTTGTAAATTCATCTGCCATTCTTACTAGATCCATTCTTTTCATTTCTTTTAAAGCTGTTTTCAGCTCATCAAGTGTTGGATTGCAATTCATTTGTAACCATTTAGTTAACATCGAAAACGCTTTTTCATCACTTTTACTAATATCTTTATCAATCATGTCTAAATAGCTTTCTTTAATATTTAACCAGCGACCAAGAGTTCTCCAATCTACCCCAACACAATCACTAAACTTTAATATAAACGCTTGGCTAAAAACAGTGGTGTCATCATTTTTGAGACAAGTAAAAAGTTGACTCATTTTGATGTTTCTACAAAAAAATACAAGATTTATGATATCAGGAAATATTTAAAATATATATACACATACATATGTAAATGCATACGTATATATAAATATATGAATAACATTCAGCGATATTATATCGCTGAAGTCATATACACAATTCTCATGTTTGAGTCATATACACACATTTTATAAAAATTAAATTTGAATTATTAACACACATCAAAAAGACATAAGCGTGTGATAGGAAAACGCGGGTGTACATGAGAAATATATACGTGAGACTTGTTTTTTAAGAAATTAAGTCTTGAAGAATAAAAATTAAAACAAAGATAGAAAAAACATATTCTGAGGAAATAAAATACGAAGTGAAAATTATTAATAAGACCTCAAACTTAGACGAGAGAAGAGAAGATATAACTGATATAAGATAATATTATTTTTATTTAAGAAGTAGATCTATATATTTTATTACAGGACAGACCTTAAGTGTAAAAGCACATTAATTTAGACACAATTTGTAAAAAGACCCCCTCAAAAGGGTCAATACTATAACCATTTCCTGATGAGAATCTGCTATTTACACTACCTAATTCGTTTGCTTTTTTTTTCAAAACACTAATGTATTTTTATGCGTATCTTTTTTGAATTCTAAATGCGCGAAATTTAATTTTGTTCTAAATAATTTTTCTATATTGTTCAATTGTCCTGTTGTTTGCTTTGTATTTTGTTTTTTGTAATATGCATTAGTTACCATGCTTTTCTGTCAATTTATTGTTGTCAAAATAATATTATAATGATATATTGTCCTATGATGTATTGTTGTTAGTAAACACTAACAGTTTCTTTGTTTAAAATTAAAAATTAGAAGACTAAGTTTTTATTTGATGATATAAAGATAATGTCTAAGAGTAAGAGTAGAAATCTCTAAGTAAGATTCACACCCATTTTTACACACTTTTTTCGAGATTGAATTCAAATTTATTTCGATCCTCGCAGTCGGAAATACGTTGTAATCTTTGCCGCGAACAGCTACCATAATAGTTAGGGGAAAATAAACTTTCGTTCTGAAACAAAAACAATTGCATAACATAAAAGTCTTTAAAATGAGTTGTTGTGTCTTTAGATGATTTTTGATATATATATATATATATATATATATATATATATATATATATATATATATATATATATATATATATATATATATATATACATATATATATATATATATATATATATATATATATATATATATATATATATATATATATATATATATATATATATATATATATATATATATATATATATATATATATGTTTTATAAGATGATTTTGTTATTTTGAGTCAACTCTGGTGACTAAGATGGTTTTGTTGTTTTAAACGCACAAGTCAGACAACTTGTGTTTTCAAAACAACGAAACTAGAGCTTAACCTCGAGTGAAAAACTTTCAGCATCTAGCCAAAGCCAAAATATTTATAAGCATCTAATGCTTTGTAGTTATCTATAGCCTCAAAAGAAAATTTTATAGGACTTTTTATTAAATAATTATAGACGTCATGGTATTGAACTCAAGGCCATTCAGTTTGATCATCTTTCCAAGTATTTGCCAAAAACTTGTATAAACATTGGTTGATTCCAAGAATTGCAAATTTATTTATATACCTTTCTGCGGTGTTAAAATTTAACTTTTCAAAGTATTTGTAAACCGACTTTTCTTTTTTTAAACTCTTTAAATCACTGTTTCGTATAAATTCTCCTGCTTTATTAACTTAACTAATCATTTGTTTTCCCCTATCCAAGATGGTAACAACTTGCGACATTGTTATTTTGTATAACCACGTGACTTTCCGACTGCGAGGATAAGACAGTAAGTTCCTGTATTTTAATTAAATTCATAAAGATGTATAAGCGAGGCAAGCATACACATTTCTGTTTGAGTCATATACACACATTTTCTCTGTACGACATTATATGTTTGTGCATTATTTATTCCTTATTTTTCAAACATTATTTGAAACGCCTTTTCCCATGTTTTATTTGAGTAAATTTAAGCTCCATTGTGTTATTTCCTATGCGCTTAAGTTCTCACAGCTCCCCCTCCCCTCCATTTTTGCGTTATAAGTGATGAGTTTAATATTCGTTTACAATTTTAAATTTGTGTCTAAAAGCAAAGTACTTTATATTTAAAATTTAAAAAAATTTTAAATATAAAGTACTTTTAACTTCAAGCAAAGTACTTTATATTTAAAATTTTAAAAAATTGTTTACGCATATTTCACAAGCAAAGGGGCGAAACTAAAAAGTAAGGGAGTACGCGCAATTAATATGTAAAAGAAGAAAAGTAATGACTATCGTGCGAGTGACGTGGTATGATTAGACTATGATGGGCATAGTACGTCTATGTTTGTTTCCGTTTTTAGAAAGTAGAAAAAAAATGCGTGTATGCGACTTGACACAATTTGAAGCTCTAAGAGAAATGTGTATGCATGCCTCGCTTATACAAATAATGAACTTATAGCTAAAACAGGGGAACTTACAATCTTAAAGAAGTTTAAATTCAATCTTGAAAAAAGTGTGTTAAACAGGAGATTGGTTATCTATCGACTGACTTAAATTGGGATTGGCGCAGCTGAGTGTACATACATTGACTGACTTAAATAGAAATTGCCGCAGCGGAGTGTGCATACATCGACTGACTTAAATAGGAATTGGTGCAATGGAGCTTATTTGCAAGTGCAAAGGGTTTTGGTTAAAATTCTTTTCTAAAAAAGCTGGCTATTTGGGCAGCAGTATGAGAACATAATCAATTTGTGAGAATTTAATTCTTTTATACAATAAAAATAAAATCAAAAAGACATAAGCATGTGATGGGAAAACGCACGCGTACATGAGAAATATACACGTGAGACTTGTTCTTTAAGAAATTAAGTCTTTAAGAATAAAAATTAAAAAAAAGATAGAAAGACATATTCTAAGAAAATAAAATAAGAAGTGAAAAAGTATTAATAAGACCTCAAGCTTAGAACAAGAGAAGAGAAGATATAACTGATAGAAGAAAATATTATTTTTATTAAAGAAGTAGATCTATATATTTTATTACAGGACAGACCTCAAGTGTAGAAGCAAATTTATTTAGAAACAAATTTAAAATTGTCTACGTATATTAAACTCATTACTTATAACGCAAAAATGGAGGGAAGGGGGAGCTGTGAGAACTTAAGCGCATAGGAAATAACACAATGGACACAGGTCAGCTTAAAGTTACTCAAATAAAACATGGGAAAAGGCGTTTCAAATAATGCTTGAATAATAAGGAATAAATAATGCACAAACATATAGGGTCGTATAGAGAAAATGCGTGTATATGACATGACACAATTTGAAGCTCGAACAGAAATGTGTATGCTTGCCTCGCCTATACAATTTATGAACTTAATTAAAATAGAGGGACTTACAGTCTTATAGAAGTGAATTTAAATTCAATCTCGAAAAAAGTGTGTAAAAATGGTGTGAATGTTACTTGAGATTTCTACTCTTACTCTTAGACATTATCTTTATATCATCAAATAAAAACTTAGTCTTCTAATTTTTAATTTTAAACAAACAAACTGTTTGTGCTTACTAACAACAATACATCATAGGACAATATATCATTATAATATTATTTTGACAACAATAAACTGACAGAAAAACATGGTAACTAATGCATATTACAAAAACAAAATACAAAGCAAACACCAGGACAATTAAACAATATAGACAAATTATTTGCAACAAAAATACATTTCGCGCATTTAGAATTCAAAAAAGATAAAATACGCATAAAAGTACATTAGTGTTTTGAAAAAAAAGCAAACGAATTAGGTAGTGTAAATACCAGATTCTCATCAGGAAATGGTTATGGTATTGATCCTTTTGAGGGGGTCTCTACCCTGGTATTATGACGTTTTGAATGTTTAATTCACTAACTTTTAAAAACTCCCGTCGGAGTCTTATCATCGAAATCGGTATAAAAAACCCATTCCGACGTCAAGCCTCGCTCATGTTGCAACACTAAAAGGACACACAACACAGAGCCAATTAACCTGTCATAAACCTATTAAAGTAAACACTAATATATTTTTTAGAAATAATAACGAAAAAATTCAGCGCAATAGAAGAGCTAAAAATTAATATAAAATTAAAACACAATTTTAAAAATTAAAATGGCATATGTTGAATTAGAAACACTTAATGTATGTATTAATACACATAGATGGCAATATTTTACGTTATAAGTGGAAATGATACTAATTAAAACAGGCTCATAAATTAAGAGGTGTTTTAAACTTGTATTCATACTTAATAAAACAAAATCAACGTCAATGATCAATAACAATGAGGTGTTTTTTATGTGGAGAAGGATAGCCTTTAGTTCAGGGATCTGAAAAGTTAAGTTCCCTAGAGTATATATGGCGTGTGAGTATGTTTATAAGACAAATGCTAGAAAAGAAAATACCTTTTTTCCTGGGTGTCTTAAATACTCTAGCGAGTTGATTGTTGTGTGTACACGAGTAACTGGTGAACACGGAATACATAAGACGCGAAGGTGATAGAAGACAAACGAGGTATTTAATTTTAAATAAAAAATGTGCAAGGTGATTAATTTCAAATTAGGAAGTGTGTAAGTTAAATTGGACTCGGTAAGAAAATGCACGATGTATGACTTAGTGTGAATTGTGTTAGCACATAGGTCAGAATGACTGTAGTTATGAAGAAATTAATTATAATATAATGAAAATGTGTGAATAATTTAGAGTTTAATGTAACGCGATGAGACGGCTCAGGAAATTATTTTAAAAACTATTGTATTTTATATATAAAGTTAGTGTAATTTAAATTATATTAATGTCGAACAGTTATTTCATACAAATTTATCTATAAAATTTATTAATTTTTAAATCAATATTATTTATTTTACAATTTAAAGTAATTTATTGTATTGAAATCTTTATTAACACTATTGTTTAATTAATTATGTATTAAAAAGGTCTAAGCTACTTATAACTTTAATTTATGTTTAAAATTACTCTATAAAATAGAGGAGAAGATGAATGCGCGCGTTAGAGATATACGTAATTCAATTTGAAGGGAGCTTTAAGAATAGATCGAACAAAGACAAAAAATATATTACGAATATCATACAGCTATAGAGACAAAGAGTCGAAAGGAGATAGTACTGTAAGAATTATAGTCAAAAAAAGTCGTTGCCTGATGTCCCTCATGCCTCTTCCTAAACGGAAAACGAAATAAAAGGGACATATTTGATCCCAAATACTCGGAAGCAGTGGTAATATATGTTAATAATTCATAACTGGACTCGAAAACCAGTTACTTTAATAGAACACAATAGGCTGTTGGAGCCTCAGTGAAGAAATTTTGTAAAAAAATGTTTATAAAGTAAACAATAAAAAGGCGTGTAAGCAACATGACACAATTTGAAGCTCGAAGAGAAATGTGACAGCATGCCTCGCTTATACAAATTATAAACTTATATCTAAAACAGGGGAACTTACAGTCTT